CAGCAGATACATAACTATACATACGATTATCTCGGATCGATTTTACACGATAGAAGCCTTACACTCGGGCAACTTGTTGATCCCGGTACCGATTTCTCGGATTTTTGTCAGCTACGCGTCTCGGCGGTAATCGCATTCGATAAACCCGATAGGTTGGGACACGTTTTATCCCGGAATCGTATTATCCTGGCCGAGGAGAAACGAGGCCAGCCGACGACGTGAGCGTAAAACAAAAATTTTTAATCTAATTCTCGCGTTAAATATAAATTTCCAGTTAAACCGTATCGCGCACTCGCGCACGCAACACGGTGGCTGCCTGCCAGCGATCTCTGAAAATTACGTTGAGCAAACATGGGTCATCTGTTTTCAACAAAAAAGAAACGCGGACGGAAAAAGAAACGTATAGTTCTGTAGGGAAATTTCGTCTCTACTAGAATACTATTATTGAAACGTTTTTAACGACCTGTATTGCCGGAGCATCGTATTAACGTTACAGCGGGTCAAGATTAGCCATTGGATCATTTTGTCTGCAGATGTAAAACGTTGGGAATAGAGAAATGTTTGTTTGCGCAGCTTCTGCAAAAGATAGAACTGCTAACCTGAATATTACATACATGTGACGATGTCTATTTCCGTTGATTTCTGGGGATATGGGATTTAGAATGTGGAGGTATGGGTGTGTGCGGATTTGCAGATATACGGATTTGAGGATGTGTGGATTTGGGGTATGAGGATTTGGGGATATGTGGATTTAAAGATATGAGGATTTGGGAATGTAAGCATTTGGGGGCGTAGAAATTTGGGCGCGTGGGAATTTGGGGACGTAGGAATTCGGGGGTGTAGAAATTTGGGCGCGTGGAAATTTGGGGACGTAGGAATTTGGAGGCGTGGAAATTTGGGCGCGTGGGAATTTGGAAACGTAGAAATTTGGGGACGTAGAAATTTCGTGGCGTAGGAATTTGGGGGTGTGGAAATTTGAGCGCGTGGGAATTTGGAGACGTAGAAATTTGGGGGCGTAGAAATTTCATGGCGTAGGAATTTGGGGATGTAAAAATTTGAGAATATAGGAATTTGGGGCCATAGGAATTTGGACATTTCTCTAATTTTTCTAATCGTTTCCCCAAAAGCCATAAAACGAACAACCACCGTTTCATGTCTCCACGAAAGCGATAACGAACTATAACACTATAAACATTATATAATTTATTTTTCGTAACAAATACGAAAGACAAACGTCCTTGGATACTTTCACTTATATCAGCGGTACGTGTAACCGGGTTTGCATTGCTCCAGGCGGTTTTACACTTGGCGAAACACGTAGATTGTATCTAAAAAAACCGGGGCGACAATTACGGACACAAATTGATATAAACTTGTTTGATTATTTCCGTCGGTTAAATCTATGCAAAATATAGGCTTGATTTAACGCGGGCCGGTATTACACGTGCAATAGTACAACATGGTTGCCACTCTTTTATTTTGATCCACGATAATTTCGTGGCCCGTTAATTAATAAAGTGGCGTATTTCGTATCGTTGAGTTCCCTTTCACGTAATTCGTATAATCTGGACCGTGAAATAATGCGTTAAAAGAGAAATATCCGACGACTCGGTCGAAAAAAGAATGGCACGAAGTATATCTCGTAAAAAATAACTCGTTAAAAATTTCCCTTTGTTCGACGTTCACGAGGCCGTTTTAATTATACCTTACGAAGAAACTACTCGAGAACGGATTAACTTTCATTTGACATCTAGGGAATTTTTGGTGGGTGTAGTAATCGTGGTGGAACTAAGGAATTTTGGGGTTTTTGGAAATTTTAGGGTTTGGAATTTTGGGACTTTGGGATGCTGGAAGTTTTAGGAATTTTGGGTGCTGGGAGTTTTGGAAATTTTAGATGCTGGGAGTTTGGGGACTTTTGCATATTGAGAGTTTAGGAATTTTGGATTTTTCAAATTTTGGAATTTTGAGGTTTTAAAATTTTGAGACATTGGGGTATTGGAAGAGGATGCTGGAAGTTTTAGGAATTTTGGGTGCTGGGAGTTTTGGAAATTTTAGATGCTGGGAGTTTGGGGACTTTTGCATATTGAGAGTTTAGGAATTTTGGATTTTTCAAATTTTGGAATTTTGAGGTTTTAGGAATTTTAGGGTTTGGAATTTTGGGACTTTGGGATGTTGGAAGTTTTAGGAATTTTAGGTGCTGGGAGTTTTGGAAATTTTAGATGCTGGGAGTTTGGGGACTTCTGCATATTGAGAGTTTGAGAATTTTGGATTTTTCAAATTTTGGAACTTTCAGATTTTAGAAATTTGAGACATTGGGGTATTGGAAGTTTTATCAAACAGAATTTGGTTACTGAGATTTTGGGATATGAGGATTTTGGTAGATCTTTGGTAGAACTTTGGGTACATGACTCTCCTCAAGTTTGGTACTTCATAATTTTAGAACTTTGCAATTTTAAAATCTTATACTTCAATGTACGAATGATTTTGGAACTTTGTAATGTTGCCTTAAAATTAGAACTTTAACACTTGATAATTGAGAGGCTTGAATTCTGTAACATCAAGAATACCATACTGCCATTTTCAGTCATTATTCTCCGACATTTTCTTCCAATAAAAACAAATATTTTTCAACCAGTAAAGACAAATATCCAAACGAACAATGAACATGCACATAAACAAACAAAAATAAATATATAAACCCCAGTGCATTTTTATTTGAGTTCCATGAAAAAGGGTCACATATTTCTAAACTAACACAGCCATTTTGTTTTCATCAAACTGTCACAAGAACTTGATAATACCAAAAATACAAACCATAATAAAGAATATATATATTTTTTATATATGTTTGTATTTCCGTATTCAACAAAGGTAATTAACTTCCAAAAGCATCTTATATTTATCCGATAATCCAAGATTTAAGTAATCGAAGAGAAGGAACAAGCTCAGCGTCTTCGACATTAAAAAAAGATGCTTCAACGACGAGATTCAGACACCTCACAGCTTAGCAGGTCCGAAGAAATTAATGACGAGGTCTTTCTACCACTTTCGAGATATCTTGGACTCGATTCTTCTTTGATCGAGAGTTGCATTGAATTAATTTCAGTGGAGCCAGAGGGCGTTGTCGTCGACGCCATTGTATCTAACGTTGCCGACTGAACTTCGAGAAATTTGTCGATCAATCGAATCGAATAGGACCATTGTGTAGCTCATGATTTCCAATCGATTTTACTTGTTATCCTTCAAAGGAACATTATCTTCTTTTCATTCTCTGCTTCTAGTTCCTTCGACTGTGGATGATATTTTTCTGACACGGTTACGGATGATATTTTTTTATTTCGATGGGTGGTTTCAGATGTGATCACTGTAATTCTTGGGATTTTTATATGTAAGTTTGTTAATAGGAATTGTAATAGGAATTTGTTAATTTTGGGAGTTGGAATTTGGCAAATTTTGCTGTTTGGAATTGGGGGATTTTGGGAGTTAGGGTTTGGGATTTTTCAAATTTTGGAGTTTGGAATTTTGGGATTTTGGGAGTTGGAATTTGGCAAGTTTTGCAGTTGGGTATTTTGGGATTTTAGGAGTTGGAATTTGCCAAATTTTGGGGTTTGGAATTTTGGGATTTCAAGAGTTGGAATTTGCCAAATTTTGGAGTTTGAAAATTGGGATTTTGGGAGTTGGAATTTGCCAAGTTTTGCAGTTGGGTATTTTGGGATTTTAGGAGTTGGAATTTGCCAAATTTTGGGGTTGGAAATTTTGGAATTTCAAGAGTTGGAATTTGCCAAATTTTGGAGCTTGAAAATTGGGATTTTGGGAGTTGGAATTTGCCAAGTTTTGCAGTTGGGTATTTTGGGATTTTAGGAGTTGGAATTTGCCAAATTTTGCAGCTTGGAATTTTGGGATTTTAAGAGTTGGAATTTGCCAAATTTTGGAATTTGGAATTTTGGAATTTCAGGAGTTGTCACTTTTCAAATTTTGGAGTTTGGAATTTTGGAATTTCAGGAGTTGTCACTTTTCAAATTTTGGAGTTTGGAATTTTGGGATTTTAGAACTTGGAATTTACCAATTTTTGGACTTTAGAATTTTAAGATTTTAGGACCAGGAATTTCAGAATTTTAGGACTTTGAATTTTGGATTTTTTCAACTTTAAGATTTTTTATTTTTTCAACTTCATCACTTTAGATTTTGACACATCTCCGCTCTAAAGTCTCAGAACATTGGAATGTTGGAATGCTGGAGTATTTGTGTCTTAAGGTTTGGTTATTTTTAATCTTCCTCACTTTTGGAACTAAAAGAGGTCTCTAAACTTCCTACCTTCACTCTGAATTTTCAAGCTTGAACGCTTCCAAATTTTCAAACCTAAATTTCTCAACTTTCAAATCACAAATCAAATTTCTCAACCTTGAAACAACCCTTCTATTTGAAACCTTTCGTTCAACCCTTCAACTCTTAATTATCCCTCAAATTTCAACACTTTTACCCCAATTTCCTCAACAAAACTACATCAATCTTAAGAATTTTCCAAATCACCTTATCATAAAGCTCCTGTAATGGCTGCCTTACAAGATAATTCATATCTGTGTCTCGATCGATCAAAACGGATCAAGACCATAATCAAAACGGAAGAAAAGAATTACCTCGTCCAAAGTCGTAACGATTACCAAGAATGCTTCCAAATTACGTAAATCTGTAAGTTAAAATTCATAAAAATTTCTCGTATTCAGCGTTCTAAGACCTCCCGTAGGAGTAACAGCGATAAAAATGAGCGAGTCTGCCGAGGATAATTCACGTGTTTGCGAACGCGTTCGTTCGACGAGGAGGAATCGCGAATAGGTGGTGGGACAAAGGAAAACGCGAGTAAAAAGAGGAAGAAAGAGCGAGAGTGTGTACGGTGGACAGTCGAGTTAGAAAAGGAGGGACTGGTATCGTTAACCTAACGGTACAAGAGTCCGTTCTCCAGCGTGCAAAAGTGGCAGCGAGTCGGCGGTTAGTAACGCGAGCGAACTCGGTCGACACACAAGTCGTCGTTCGGTCTCTCCCATAATCGAGTAGGTGAAGTGCGTTCGCTGGTTCAGGTGCAACTATCGATAAACGCCTACGGAATCGAAATTTTTACGATACTTCGATGCACTGATAATATCGTCATGATATCGTTCGCCATTACAGAGGTCGTTGAGAACCGACACTATTTGCACACACATTTATCGCATTTACTAACTTTTGGTAAATTTGATTAGTTTTTCAAGTTTTATACTTTCTGGTAGCATTTTGATAATTCTATAACAAATTTTTTAATTCGTAAATTAACTTTGCTAGTTTTCTATCTTCTGATGTTACTTCAATTTTGTAAATTAAATAATTCTTGAATTATGTTTTGAAGTTTGAAGGGTTTGATATTTTACTAACTTTTGGTAAATTTGATTAGTTTCTCAAGTTTTCAACTTTCTGATATTACTTCTTGGTAAATTAACTAATTGACAGATTCTTGCATTATCAAGTTTCTATGTTTCCAAACAGATCGTAGAAGATTACTAAATTTTCTAAGTTTCTAGGACTGTAAATTTTATAATTGTCAAATAGTCAAACCTTCAGCTACTGTAATTAGTCAAATGTCAAAATTGCAAATATCCCAATTTTTAAATCCCCAAATTTCTATATATAAATTCCAACTTTTCCGGTTAATTAATTTCCAAATACCAAAATATACAAATTCCCTATTTCCCCAATTTCCAAATCCCCAAATCCCACATATCCCAAATTCCACATATCCCAAATCCCACATATCCCAAATCCCACATATCCCAAATCCCACATATCCCAAATCCCACATATCCCAAATCCCACATATCCCAAATCCCACATATGTTAAACTCCACACATCTCAAATCCCACATATCCCAAATTCCACATATCCCAAATCCCACATATCCCAAATCCCACATATCCCAAATCCCACATATCCCAAATCCCACATATCCCAAATCCCACATATCCCAAATCCCACATATCCCAAATCCCACATATCCCAAATCCCACATATCCCAAATCCCACATATCCCAAATCCCACATATCCCAAATCCCACATATCCCAAATCCCACATATCCCAAATCCCACATATCCCAAATCCCACATATCCCAAATCCCACATATCCCAAATCCCACATATCCCAAATCCCACATATCCCAAATCCCACATATCCCAAATCCCACATATCCCAAATCCCACATATCCCAAATCCCACATATCCCAAATCCCACATATCCCAAATCCCACATATCCCAAATCCCACATATCCCAAATCCCACATATCCCAAATCCCACATATCCCAAATCCCACATATCCCAAATCCCACATATCCCAAATCCCACATATCCCAAATCCCACATATCCCAAATCCCACATATCCCAAATCCCACATATCCCAAATCCCACATATCCCAAATCCCACATATCCCAAATCCCACATATCCCAAATCCCACATATCCCAAATCCCACATATCCCAAATCCCACATATCCCAAATCCCACATATCCCAAATCCCACATATCCCAAATCCCACATATCCCAAATCCCACATATCCCAAATCCCACATATCCCAAATCCCACATATCCCAAATCCCACATATCCCAAATCCCACATATCCCAAATCCCACATATCCCAAATCCCACATATCCCAAATCCCACATATCCCAAATCCCACATATCCCAAATCCCACATATCCCAAATCCCACATATCCCAAATCCCACATATCCCAAATCCCACATATCCCAAATCCCACATATCCCAAATCCCACATATCCCAAATCCCACATATCCCAAATCCCACATATCCCAAATCCCACATATCCCAAATCCCACATATCCCAAATCCCACATATCCCAAATCCCACATATCCCAAATCCCACATATCCCAAATCCCACATATCCCAAATCCCACATATCCCAAATCCCACATATCCCAAATCCCACATATCCCAAATCCCACATATCCCAAATCCCACATATCCCAAATCCCACATATCCCAAATCCCACATATCCCAAATCCCACATATCCCAAATCCCACATATCCCAAATCCCACATATCCCAAATCCCACATATCCCAAATCCCACATATCCCAAATCCCACATATCCCAAATCCCACATATCCCAAATCCCACATATCCGAAATTCTACATATCCCAAATCCCACATATCCCAAATTCTACATGTCTCAAATCCCGCACGTCCCAAATTCCACACGTCCCAAATCCCACACATCCCAAATTCCACACATCCCAAATTCCACGCATCCCAAATTCCCAAATCCCCAAATTCCCAACTCCCCAACTCCCCAACTCCCCAACTCCCCAGCTACCAAAACCCCAAATCCCCACCCAAAAATCCCTAAACCCCCAATAAAGCTTCCTTTTCCCATCGAATTCCCACACCCATCAAACAAGATAAGATTAACCGATTACAGATAACATATCTAACAAGAAGCATCTAAATTTCGATAAGAAAGTGCCAAACGTGGAATACATATGTAGTTTAAGAATGTTCACCGATAAAGTGTAAATTGATTCAAGGGACATCACATGTAGCTACATATAACTACGTATGTTATATTCATATTTATGCCACGTAATTTGCAACGCATGAATATGCAACGATAAATATAATACGCGTTGCGTTCTGCTTCAATCAAACTTCACTGACTCCTCTCTTTGTTATCGATATCTGACGATATAGTCGATAGTGACATGAGTCACTTATGATGAAAGCATTACAACTCCATTTTGTAAGAAAAGAAATTTTACCATTGTTTCTTGTTTCGCATGATTAACAATGTGGTAGAAGAAGTTTTCTTGTGAAATTGTGTTTTCATCATAAAGGATATTCATCATAAGCAATATATATTTTAGTTCATATCAAAATTGTTGTATTTAATTAGGGGAGACATGTTTGTTATTTTGATCTGAAATTTTGTGGTGAATCTGCAGTTTTAGAACGAATTGTATTTATGCAATTTTCTATTTTAATTCAGTAAGGAATTATTGCAGAAATTATTTAATAAATATTAATATTTTGTCTTTGAAGACATTGTTGTAAAATAAAGAAGCACTTGAGTTATGCTACATAAAACAAGTTTAGTCTTATGCCACATAAAGCAAGAAATTTCTTTTTTTTTTTCAGAATTTAAATTCTTTCAAAATTACTTCTCTATTATCAATTTCTACAATTGTCTATTTTCCTATATTCATACCTCACTTACTCAAATTACTCAAACTGAATATTTAGTTAAAAAGTACCTATTTCAAATTGTCTTATTAAACACCAAATGTGAGTCCTTAATCTTACCAAGCCTTTCACCATATCAAAACTGCTCCCGATTCAAAAAAAGTCAGATCAAGAAGTCTCCCCACCGATAAGGCAATCGATAATTACACCTGGACGCGGATGTACGCAGAGTTTCGAAACTGGCGGGAAAATCCGTGCTCGTCGGATGCGGTGGCAGTCTTATTCGAGTGCTCGGTGTGGCAGCTGTTAGAGCGATTTCGTAGCCAGTGTTTGGAACGCGAGTCGGAAAGAGTGTTGTACGCGAAGATCCACGGTAGATCGGTCTGTTAGTCGGCAGGAATCTAGGTGCACACACCGAAATAGAGAGGTACGTCGCGCTCCAAGTTTCAGCGAACTCGTTACCGGCGAGTTTCGCGTGCATGTGCATCGGCCAGAATCTCGCCTAGGAGCATGTACGATAGAACCTAAGGAACTTTCCGGGAACAATGTTAATCGTGAGCTAACGCGATCAGGTCACCGTGACGTTTGGGACGCATCGATCTCTGAACTGACGGGATCACGTTCGACTCCTATTATGTGTGTTGGATCTTTGAAATTAACTCTACGTTAATTATTATCGAGAATATTGCTGTTCAATATTTAGTAAATTAATTCTACAGAGTTTATGTTGAGTTTAGAGGTTAATGGAGAAAGCTGGAACCTTTATGGCGGTCTCATGTGTCACGTACTCATACGCCTCGCATACTAAACTCGTATGTCCTCGCTGGGTGTATTTAAATTCTTGGGGTACTCTAAATATTGTTTGTAAACACACTGGTACTGTCACAAGTGTACATTCTATTTCTAACAGCTCAGAGATAGTTCATACTTAAAGATAATTTATACAACTGAAAACTCAAAGAGCTTAGCAGAGCCATTTCTTAAAAAAATAAATTATTCGAAAGAATTAAGCTTAATGATAAAAAAGAGTTGCAATAAAAATGATATTTTCTATTTCTGATCTCTGTGAGGACAACTGACATTTTACAATCGTAGCATTAAAAATGCATAAGGTTGTTCTTGAAAATTTAATTACCATAAACTCTGCCGAATGAAAATTTAACTGCTTGTCCTACTCTGACGAGTCTGAGTCACTTATCTTACTGGTATTTATATTCGTTTTAATTTAAACTTCAGATCCAATGTGAAGTGAATGCGAGCAGACGTAATAGCTTAACTTTCATTATTCCTTTTAATATTTTAGCGGTTAGGTTAGATTAGCGGTTAGTTCTGAGTTAACCTAGAGAAATGTGTTCCTGCTGTGACGTTGATGTGTCACTTTATTTTAGAAAATATCAAAGTAAATAGTAATTATTTATAATAATCAGTATTGCAAAATAATATGCAATTTTAATATGATTTCTTGTATTTACAAAATTGTGTTTTGTATTTTTGATTCTGTTATACTTAATATCGTAACGAAAGTTACAGTGTTTTTCCTATCAGATACTGATAGCTTATCTGAATTTGACACTTTCCTGCTGTGAATAACCTCATTGATTAATATGTACGAAATAATTATGTAGAACAAGCTTGACCTACAAATATAAAATGCCTCGTAACAGCGAAAGTGCATTATATTAGCGATGTACATTTTATCTACGCGTTATCTGAACTCCACATTTTTCCCGCTATTAGAAACTCAATTAATTAATGTGAACAGTGAACATGAATATTGTCGAGTACAGCCTCAAGGGACCATATAGCGAAATTGCACTCTAAATATATGTCGACGTGTTATCTGAATTTTTGCACGTTTTTCCTGCTGTTAGTCGCTTTATTAATTAGCAGAAACAATTAACGGGAATATTATCGTTCACATATGAACTCTGCGTGTCGTATAACTATATTATACATACACATAATTATATTAAATATATTTTATCTTTTACACATTTTTGCTGTTATGAAGAAGACAGTTAATTAGTACAGACAGTTTGAACGTGTGAACTCCATATTGTTTCATACAGTACAACTGTATAAAAATTATTATGCTTATTTGTTACTATACTTAAAGTATATTTTGTATGTTGTCTGACCAGTTAATTAGAAACAATGAACCTGTACATTAGCATTCGAATATGAATTAACGAGTCATGTTGTGTAAAAAGACTATACTGTATCAGCAAACACATGTTATCGATATGTTATCTGAATATTTGCACCTTTGACCCAATATTAAGAAACTAGATAATCGATACAAACAGTAAACTCGAATATTTAATTAATATTTAAATATAAACTCCGACGTGTCATATAAAAAACTGTGTTATATTAACGACATACGTTATTGATATGTATCTGAACTTTTGCACGTTTGACCCATCACTAGAAAAACTAGACAATTACTGCAAATAAAAAAACTCGTATATTAATACCTACATAAATTCCATCGTATCATATAACAAAACTGTGTTATATTAACAAGATACGTTATTGATATGTATCTGAACTTTTGTACGTTTGAGCCATCACTAGAAAAACTAGACAATACAAACAACAAACTCTTATATTAACACCCAAATATGAACTCCGACGTGTCATATAACAAAATCGTATAATATTAACAACACACCTATTATCAATATGTTATCTGAACTTTCACAGCTTTAACCCATCACTAGAGAAACTAAACAATTACTACAAACAACAAACTCTTATATTAACACCCAAATATGAACCTCCTCGTGCCATATAACAAAATCGTATAATATTAACAACACACCTATTATCAATACGTTACCTGAACTTTCACAGCTTTAACCCATCACTAGAAAAACTAAACAATTACTACAAACAACAAACTCTTATATCAACACCCAAATATGAATCTCCTCGTGTCATATATCAAAACACATATTAACAACACACCTATTATCAATACATTATCTGAACTTCCACAGCTCAAACCCATCACTAAAAAATCTAAATAACTCCTCCAAGTAACAAACTCAAATATTAACACCTAAACATGAACCTCCTCATATCACACAAAAAACCTAAATTAAATTAGCAATACATGTTCATCCTCTCCTTGTTATCACAAACAATAAACACGAATATATCTCCGAAACACTCCACCATACAAACTCGCATGTCAGCCAAATAACCCATCCGCAAGAAGCATTCCTCGCTGCTGTCAGAGTAAACACTTCCAGAACACAGTTATCAAAATGGAGAATCTTCGATACTATCTACATCGATTGTCACTCGCTAATTTTCCCTCGACAGAATTTCGCCAGCGCATAAATGTATCGACAGACGATGTTGTTTTTCGGTTATCTGCAAAATTGAATTCAGCGATCTTTTGAAGTCTATCGACAGCTTCGATTCGAGCGCCGTTTATCTCGTTGTTTCGTCGAAAGGCTGGCACACGCGGGAAAGCACGTGCAACTCGCACGGATCGATTCTGGAATACCTACGAGGCTGTTTATCGTTCTTTGTCGGTGGCTCTCACGTGGAAACGGAGCTTAATGGAGACCCGGTCGCAGACGGCAAGCGATTAAACTCTGTTACGAACGGTGTCCTTGAACGCACGGATACGAAATATCGTTGTAAATCGGGATTTCTGGCCTCGAATCGAGAATGTTCGTCCGAATGATAAATATTTGCAAGGAAGGTTAGTTCCGCGGATCGCATGAGACATTGTGCGATGGTGACTCATTGCTGGTGTCGTTACGTATTCTACTGTGTATTTCATCCGTGAAACGGCGAACATGTACGCCGCGTACCAAATTATGTACCAAGTTTCTGGATCATCCAAGGTTTGTCTAACTTTGCGTAATCGGAATTCGCAATTCCGTTTCGAATGTGATTCTCAGGTTTATTTAAAAAATTTATGGGTCAAATTTATATATTACCAAGTTTCTATATTTTTAAGTTTATTGGTCAAATTTACATATTCTCAAGTTTCTATATTTTTAAGTTTATAGGTCAAATTCAAGAATTTTCAAGTTTTTATATTTTTGAATTTACAGGTCAAATTCACATATTCTCAAGTTGCTATATTTTTAAATTAACAAATTCTCAAGTTTCTATATTTTCAAATTTACCGCTCAAATTTACGAATTCTCAAGTTTCTATATTTTCAAATTAACAACTTCTCAAGTTTCTATATTTTCAAATTTACAGCTCAAATTCACGAATTCTCAAGTTTCTATATTTTCAAATTAACAAATTCTCAAGTTTCTATATTTTTAAATTTACAGCTCAGATTCACATATTCTCAAGTTGCTTTATTTTCAAATTCACGAATTCTCAAGTTTCTATATTTTCAAATTTACAGCTCAAATTCACATATTCTCAAGTTGCTATATTTTCAAATTAACAAATTCTCAAGTTTCTACATTTTCAAATTTACAGCTCCAATTCACAAATTCTCAAGTTTCCGTATTTTCAAATTTTTCATAATCAACTTCAACCAAAATTTACATATATGTTCACAACAAAGAGAAATATTGTACTGATTGTTATGCAACTAATCAAATGCATTAAAGTAGTGTTTCAAATTATTATATCAATTAGTAATCGACAATACCTTAAACATTAATTAACGAAAAGAAGAAAAATAATATCTCTACATTCGTTATCGTATAATAAAGGAGAAGTTCGGAACAAAATTTATGAGTTTATTCAAACGAAAGAGGTATCATGTACAATTACATGCGAACGGATTTCGATAATTATCTAGAAACGAACTGTGTTTCGGTGTGATTTGCATTGAATCCTTAATGACAGAGTCATAATAGGATTTAATATTACCTTTGTTTCAGGTAGTCATTCGCTAATGGCGAACAATTTGAGAACAATTAGCATATCTGGAAATCTAATAAAACACGTGTTCTACTTTACAGTGTTTCCTCCGTTCCAGTTTTCCGGATTGAAACAGCTATTTCTAGCTCACACGGCCGCTAAAAAACTCATTAGATAGGGAACTGCTCTATGTTGAATAATCGTAATCCAAGGTTTCGTTTCGTTCGCCTGGAAACCGCCATTTTTCACGCGGAAATTTGGATGCTTCAGGGTTTGGGAATTTAGGGAGATTTGGGAATTTGAAAAATTAGAGATTTGGGGATATAGGGATTTGGGGATCGGGGATTTAGGGATCGGGGATTTAGGGATCGGGGATTTAGGGATCGGGGATTTAAGGATCGGGGATTTAGGGATCGGGGATAGAGGGGACGTGGATTTAGGGAATGGGAATTTAGGGATTAGGGATTTAACTATTGGGGATTTAGGGAATTGGGGATGTGGGAATTTGGAGACTAGGAAATTTGGGGACGTGGGAATTTGGGAATCTAGGGAATACGGAGTGTGGGAATTCGGAGA